AAATAAAGTTGAGTAAAAAAGAGGATCACACAACAGTTGGAGTAAAATTCACCCAAATTTTCAGAAACTACACTCAACTTTGGGCAGATTTTCTACCTAGTTGAGTGAATTTTACTCCAACCGTTGTGTCATCCCCTTTTTTACTCGGATCCGTGCAAATTTTACTTGATTTTTTTAGAGTGGACTAATTAAATAATTCAATTATGTTCATTATATCCTGTATTTATGTATTTGACTAATTCCTAAATGTTCTGATCTTATTTAATTTTGACCTATGAAACTGACTGCCCACCTTGAACAGTCTTGACTCCAAGGGTATAAAACCCTAATTAAGTTTGCCATCCATAAACACTCTTTTACACATGCTCCACAGTCACGTTCAATCACCGTAGTAGTCCCACCTTTGCCCCGTAGTTTTAACTTACTTGAACTGACAACAATAAACTCCAATATATGGGCAAATAGAATTGTATAATCCTTTATATTTGTATGTACCTGTATGTATTTGGTGGGGTGACGATCCTGCCATTGTTGGACAGGACTAATCAGCTGCGAAAGCAAATGCTGCTTATTGCAGTCTCCCCAATACACGGCACGTGCCTTAATGTGCTGATTCCAAACCTCCCCTAAGACAGATAAGTCCCCCTTGACTTAAAAATCCTCCGGCCTGACTATGAATTGAGTCAGGACCAGAAAGAGACCTGGTCGCTCCACCAAACGACGAAGTACTGGTGGCGTATTGCTACGCCTCCCAGAGTGATGGTCCAACTACGGTAGTGAATCCTCCACCGCACGATGACAGGCCCAAGGAAAAACTCCCCCAGTGGTTCACCTACGCTGAGACCAACTACTGAGAAACTCAGTGGGTCTCAGCCCCACCAGAGAAAGTCCCCCGGGCCACACCACCGTGCAGCAGAGCCCCCACCAATAATGGACTCAACTACGCCACGTTATCCACCACAACGTGTGTATTTATATCAGGGGGTGAGGACTCAGTCCAAGGCCCACGGACCGACCACATAAACAAGCACTGCTCGTAACTCTCAGTCCCGCCTCCTCCCCCAGAGTCGGCGTGGTAACCGACCTCAGGGTGGCTTTTTCGGGAGGGTCTGAGAGCAGCACCTGTTCATTCAATCCGGGGCACTTGTTCCTCCTCCTCACCCTGCAAGAAAATAAAGAATATTAGTAAAATTTACTAAACATATTGCAGGCCACGTTGATGATGGAAACGTGGCCTGCAAGGATTTGGGTGAAAAAAAAGTGTGGGGGTGGTTCTTTATAGAGAACCACCCAACCTTGACACGCCTCTCACTCCCCCTTACACACTCAACACAAAAATGTGTCGCCCCCACCCCCTCTCCTCGAGAAACTTTAATTTCTCTGGAAATTCAGTGGGAGAGGAGAGAAAAACACATGTCTCACTTCCAATCTCCCGCACGTGCCTTTATATTTGTATGTACCTTTATAGTCAAAAATTTCCATGCAAATGCTAAAATAAATATTCGACAAACCCCAAACAAATTTAAACCGAAATTACCAAAGACATCGTGTAATACACCATCAGCTCGAATATTTTAACCCGAGTGGTTTTCCTCATCACAAAATATGAACCGGCCCAAGCCTGAAGGTGTTTACAACTTTTAACTTCTCTCCTTCTACAACTTGAATCTCCCCGCAGTTCTAACGCCTTGAGGAAATCGGCAGATTTACTTTCTATATTACCCATCAAAGCAAAAACTAGTTGAATGTAACAAATGATTGTGGCAATTCCCATTATGTCAAGAAATATCAAGGCGTTGGGAACGATGCATGTCATTTTTATAAGCATATATCCCATCGCAACAATTGCTACTAAATACATAAGAATAACCATGGGTGATACGTACCACATTATTTGATTTAACATTTTGTTCAAAATCTGCACTTGCCTGTATTTCCTTATACTAATTACATGATTGGAAATAATTCCAAATTTAGACCGGTTAAATTTACCATTGGTTAAGCCTTCCAATCTGCGTAGGATAAAGAGGAATACGATAAAAGCGTTTATCCCATACCCAAAAATGAGTACGATAGCGTGCATAAATGATGAACCGAAGACTAAAATCCTGATAAATACTTTCAATCGAAATGGCATGAAAGTAACGGTGCGAAACCAAACTATGACGGGTCCATGTTTGGGCAAAGGATTATAAAAGACAGCCAGTGGTGTTACAATAATTGGAGTGATCATTAAGTGAAGAAATATTCCGACTATGTTGGTCGATTTTTCAAGAATGCCTAAAAAATATTATTAAATTTTCATTAGGTTTACCAAGTTTATCCATTCGTGTCAACTAATTACCTTCAAACTTGCAAACATTACTAAGCACAAAACATAGTTCGTCCGAATAGCAATAATACGAGAAAAACACGGTGGTCGACACCATATACGCGGTAAAGCATATTAGAAGGATGACATACATTACGACCGAGAGATCGGGATCTTTCCGAGGTGACATCAATTCTCCAAGTACGATGTAATAATTATTTGCTAACATAACTATGACCAGGAAGGAGAGAAAGTACCATGCAAATAATTTCGATTTTGGACTCGGCTTCGGTTCCCAAGTCGTTCGGTTGAACGTTATTGTTTGAGAGTAAAGCCATTCGTTTAGGACTGCGACTCGGTGTAGGGCCTGTAATGGAGTGAGCGTTTTGACCAAAGTGATTAGCCGTGCTTCCGTCATGGTAGTTTATACATAGATTTGTTAATCCTGATGCTGTTGGGGTCTAATTAACGGAAGCCAGTTTATATTAAAGTATGTGATATGTATGCTATGTTTCTTTAAGAAAGGTGATCAGGTGTGTTTCTTTTTGAGGAAACGACAACAAGGGAAGGCCAACTTTATAACGGGATCGGGACCTTCGCTCTGTTATGTTGTAATGTCAGAACAAACTTGAGTTTGACACACATACTGGACTACATATTTAGGATTTAATGTTGCAAATTTCTGGGTAATTTTTGAAATGTAAATAACAAAATATGTCAAATGCGTAAATGGGCAATTTTACAAGAATTATATTGACATTCTATAGTTGCGGATACGGCTATTATGTATATTTTTTGAAATATGTATGTGACGTATGTTATAAGGTAACTCAGTTTTGAAATTATGTAAAATGTCTGGTTACGGTTGACTTACGTTAGTTACAAAACTGTTACGTCAAAAGGTGATTTTAAGTATAGCCTCGATTTACTCTCTTTTTTACAAGTTCTGTGACAAATACTGTTACTGCATAAATCATGGGTTAATAAACATTGCTTATTAAGCGATTATTTACTTAAATCATTTAAGTTTACAACATGCATATTATTTAACTTTACTTTTGAAAACATGTTCATATGTCGTTGCATACATACTACCTGTTCATGATTAACTCTTCAGAGAGAAATACATAATCACTATTTTTACCAATCAATTACTGAGTACGGTTGGAATCGTATTGTTCTTGACTTTCTTCCACCTTCTTACTGGTGTGTTTTGCATCTTTTATAAATTCAAGGTGACGAGTCGACCCTACAACTTTCACGAATACTTCTGGATCGAATTTTCGTTTCTGCATATGTGTATAACATTTTAATATACTTTAATACAAATATAATGCTAATCATGTATTCTACAAAACTCACCCTGAACCAAAAATTGTCTCGGCTCGTGCTCTTGTCGACTATGGTAAAAATTTTAATATTAGACGTCTTTTTCTATAAGCAGTGTATACAAAAAAGGATCTACTTTAAGAATCTTGACAGCAATTTCAGTAATTGCAAAATATGCACTCTTGTGAACTGTAATCCAGTTTTATTTGACACCGACAATAACCGACTTTCAAGTTATATGCACTGCAAATAATTTGGTGTAAACATCGCGCGGTGTAGCCACATAGTCACCCCGATCGGTGTAAATGGAGCAAATTTACACCGTTCGGGGTGACTATGTGGTTACACCGCGCGGGATTTACACCAAATTATTTGCAGTGTGGTATTACAGAGAAAACGATCTTTGCTGCTACGGTATATCTTGTTGATTCTATACGGCGGCATGATGACGTATAACTGTATTTTAAATCCCTAGAGATGTCAGCCAAACTACTGGGTTTTGTGTCTTGGCTGATGTATTTTTTCTTTTCATCCACCTCATTGCGCCGTAAATGCATAATTTTGCCAATGAATGACGGTATATATTTTTGCATCCCAATTTGTAATTCCAATAGTACTGAAAGTGGAGAATGAATTGTTATTTAACTACAATCCTGAAAAAATGAACCAGTTGGATAAATTTTTATGATAACAAATTGTCATACTGTATGTATAATATGTGTGTGTATGTATAATACGATAGACTGTATGTATAATATGTATGTATAATACGATAGATGTACATATAGTAATTCTTGATGTACTGTAATATGTAACAATGATGTATAAATAAATTGACATTAATTTCATTCGTATCATTAAAACAAAATCAGCATTAAATTCGCATTAAATTCTCACCACATTAATGCATATAAATCATCAGCAAATTTACACAAAATTCATACATATTTGTTGTGTCAATTTTGTGCATATTTTGTACAAGTAAATTTGTATTGATAATTTTTTGGTATTAATTTTGTACATGCGACTTGTACAAAATTATTACGAATCGCCTTGCCATTTTAACGGAAAGTATGCATTAATCTAGTTGTACAAATTTACTACATTATTTGCAAACTTTGGTTCGTCGGGTATGTAAATATGCATGTATGTAATCTGTCCACTGGTGTGGTTCGACTTACGAAATATTAAACTCAGGTTCCCAATTATCAGTAATTACACATACAATCCTACATATTCTTATCAATCCCGCACTCCAGCCGTGTGCAGGTCCAGATAATTAAGTTTTTTAGTTATCTCACATTCCGATGCGCACTTAAATAAGTGGACACGTATGCACTAAAATTACGTAGTTCCTATTCTTCACTCAGCAGAGATACATTCAAGTGTAAAAATACGTACATAAATGCATAATTATACGTCTAAATATCTATCTTTTTACCCACTTATATTTGGAGTCAGAAATTAAATCAAATTTCACCCGCAGGTAAATATTCCAATCTTCCGTCTATCTGTTTAGTAAGGCAGGATTATATCATGATATTTTAACATATTTATCAAACTCCAACAAACTGAGAAACAAATAAGTTCGACCATACATATTTGCGAAATTTTTGTATCATATTTAATATACATATTTATTTCGTAATGTGGGTATGTCTATACGAATTCACATTGTGCTGTAAGAAACTACTACAGTGCAGTTTTTTGTTTCAGTCTCATATGAAAAAAATGCAAAAATTTAGTATTCAGTATTTATTTTAACTTACAAGGTAAAACTTTTAGCGGTCAACGTCTGATTTCGATGGGGTAAATTATATTTTACTCACAAGGAAAACTACCGAGAGTGTCCAACGAGTTAGGGGTCGACACCTATACCAAAACGTGCACAATACATGACTTTTATCGTGAACTGAAAGATTTTCCGTGTAAAATTCACTTTTAGTCAAGTTGTGAAGATGTTTGTGACGAACGGATGACCATCGAGGGCAATATTTGGGGAGTTCGACTCCGCTCGTCCTCTCCCTTTGTTGACTTTGACCTGGCTGATGAAAAAATCCATCTCCAAAATCAACTAATATTTGGATATCCCTCTTGCTTTTGATTTTTCTCACAAATTCCATAGCTTTTAATTTGATCGGAATTGCATTCATTTTTTTCAAAATCTCATAATTTTTTTAAAATTTCGAAACAATTGAAAACATTTTCAAAATTTCAAAAAACCAGGATTTCGAAAATCTCAAAAAAATTTAATAATTACATAAATTTTTGAAAGTTTTTTATAATTTCATAATTTTCTGAAATTTTTTTAAATATCTAGTTTAGAGGATGGAGATTTTTTTTATAAGCAAGGTCAAATTCAACAAAGTGACAGGATGAGCAAAGTCGGACTCCCCCACTGGAAACTAATTGCGATCGTGGTCAGACCTTCGTCACAAATATCGTCACAACATGACGAAAAGTGAATTTTGCACGGAAATTCTTTCATTTCACTATAGAATTCATGTATTGTACACATTTTGGTATAGGTGTCGACCCTTAACTCGTTGGACACCCTCGGTAGTATTCCTTGTCAGAGTCCCAAATAGGCACGTATATTGACATGACCACGGTTTAAAAACCTAAGGTGTTCTCTGAAGATAAATCTGTAAATTCTATAAAGTAACCTAACGTAACCTCACAAACATATGTATGTTTTCCTCACACGCATAAGTAATGCAGTAAAACTACTGAAAATCAACTATTTTTTCAAGAGGTAGGTGAAAATAGTATAAATATTAGAAAATAGTATCAAACGAAATCTGTTAAACATAGATGGAATAGATAAAAAAAATTTTGTTGTAGCTTCCCACCCTCTGAGATATTCATATGGTGTCCTTTTGAAGAAATAAAGATTTTCAGAAAATCAATGGCATCTTTTCGGGGAGTGCTATTTTCGAAAAAATGGTCCTCTAGAAGGCCCCGCACATGACCCTCAGGAATACAGTTTCAGTAAGAGTGACCCAAAGAATTGATTTTTTGAAGTACTTCCTCCAGCGAACAAAAAGTAACACGAAATGTTTTGAATTATCCCGCCTAAGGAAGACTATTTCAAAAAAAGTTTCAAACGTTGGCTGTAGCTAAGCTACCTGTGCATGACCCGGTTGACCGTTTATATTGATCGTGCACCCAGATCATTTGAAAAAAAATTTAGTGTCAACAGTTTGCGATGGCAGAAATAGAGCGGCAACGTGGATATTTCAAATAGTTTTCGAAATATCGAAAAACTGTAAGTATCCCTGCTTTTTGAGAACGGTGATAATGCAGCTTACCGCACTGTTCTATGTCTCAAAGGGACCGCACATGACCCCCCTTAAGTTAACATTGGGTGTCCTAATTGCATAGTATAGATTTCACATATACTTCCATACAGCATGAAAGTAAATGAGGAAAAAATAGAAAAACTATAAATGATATTTCAATAATTGTTTCTCAAAAAGTTAATTCATTTTGTCATTCAATAAATAAATTTTTGTACATGATTTATTTCTTGCCCCTTCGCGGGCCGGAGAAGCCATAATAAGAAATAAGTATGTACATACCCCTTAATTCATTTTCATTTATTCATTCACTCATTTTTATTTATTCATTCATTCATTCATTCACTCACTCATTCATTCACTCATTCATATGTTTTCTTTTCTACAGGAACAACATCAACAATGGCTAGCCATTCAGGCCAAGGCCCGGGTGACTCTCGTCTGGTTGACATTATAGTTACCGATCTTCGGGACTCCACCTACAACGGGAAACAGGACAAGACACAAATCGATATCGAATTGAATGGTGTCACCATCATAAATGCTAACCTTTCCGTATCCTTGGCAAATATTAGACGATCGCTCGAGTCGAAATTAGCCGCGCGAGAGTCGAACCCCTTCAAAATCTGCAACACCGATAACCACCCGATTGAGTCCATGAAAGTTCAAGGACTCGTCGGTATAAAAAATCTTATCCTTTTGGACGAAGGACAAACTACTTATCCAATCGTGTACACGCGGAGCTGCAGTTTTGTTCCACACATTAAAGTGGTTACGAGTCAAGAAGGAAAGTTCTACGGATTGGAAGGTATGCTTATGTATAACTTCATCCCAGTGGGCACAGACGTAAATCGCACTATATTCGCTCCGAATTAATCGCGAGAATAGAGCTAAATCGCCGGCGATACGTAGCGATTTATAGCGATCGCAGTGAGTCGGTGCTTCTTCGCAGCGATCGCTATAAATCGCTGCGAAGATCGAAATCGTCACGTATCGCCGGCCATTTAGCTCTATTCTCGCGATTAATTCGCAGCGAATATAGTGCGATTTACGCTTGTGCCCACTGGGATGTGCCAAATTTTGAGAATTCTTGGTTTTAAGCGGCAACCTTGGCTTATGTAATTATCCTCTCCGTCTGTCTGTCTGTTTTAATAAGTTTGGAACGGGTTAAGCCTTTTCACCCAATTTGGTAACAAGATCTACGTACCTTCAAGCTTCTATGTCATCCTGTTCTAGAGTTGTCTACATACCAAACCAACATACAGACATTACCAGGGTTGCAAGTGGTCGAAACCACTATTTGCCGGACAGTGGTCAAAAGACACTTTTTGTTGTCCACCACATTTGGTGGACAGTGGTCAAAAGTGGTCAAAACTCTATCTTTTAGGTTACTTGAAACAACTTCTTTAAAAGTTATTATATTAAAAATCTAACTTCATATTTGTGTTCTCCATTACCTTCTGAGAAAAATGTGGGTAATACGGTTTAATTAGGATATTTAATTCAAATTCCTATGTATTCTTATTGAAAATTAGAAAATTCAGGAAAAACTATCTACAACTGACCATGTTACATATCAAAATGCTTAGAACTTTGTTGACATCACGAATATGAAGTTCGATTTCTAAAATATTGATTGTTAAAAAAGTTAGCATAACTAAATACATGTGCGGCCATTTTGACCGATTTTGACCACTGGCCCGGTCATAAGTGTTTTGGGCGGTCAAATTGCAATCTTGAACGTAACGATCATAAAAATCCGTTTGACGGATTTGTCCGGATTTGAGAAGTGGTCCGGTCTGAGGAGAAGCAAGTCGGAGGTTGCCGAGTTTGATAACCTTTGGATATGTTAGAGTACTCGACGAGATAAGAAAAAGTGAAGGAGAGCTAACAATGCGAATGTGTCAGCGGCTACACTCCGATTTCGACCGGACCAATTTTATTTGGTCGTGCAGGTCAACCTTACCAACGTTTGGTTTTGCACTTTTCTTAAAGCCCGAGTTTGACTGCGTGGCGGGATTTTTTAAACATTTGTCAGCCAAAACCTCGGGTTTTCAAAACGCTGAAACTTTTCGAATTTTGGCGCGATTTCAAAACATTGAGACATGTATTCTTAGAATTACGTACTTGAATTTCTAATAATGCATTTTCTAAGTTTTCAAATTTTGAAATTTTTTTGTCAGCTTTTGAATTTCGAAAAATTAAAATCTCAGCAAAATTTTTGAATTTTCAAAAAATTTTGAAAAAGTATTTTTAGAAATTCAAGTACGTAATTGTAAGAATACATGTTTTCGATTTTTTGAAATCGCGTCAAAATTCGAAAAGTTACAGCTTTTTGAAAACCCGAGGTTTTGGCTGACAAATGTTTAAAAAATCCCGCCACGCGGTCAAACTCGTGCATTAAGAAAAGTGCGAAACCAAACGTTGGTAAGGTTGACCTGCACGACCAAATAAAATTAGTCCGGTCGAAATCGGAGTGTAGCCGCTGACACATTCGCATTGTCAGTTCCATGCTCATCCCCACCGGATATTTTAAAGCTCAGAGTTTCAAAATTTTCCCCATTCAGTCAGGGCTACGACGGGGATATCCCATGCCGGGGCTGGGATTTTCAAGCCCAGTTTGCCTTGGATTTCCCAGCCCTTTTAAACGGCAGGGCTGCGATTTCTCAGCCCTGAGCAATTTATTTTAAATTAAATAATATAATAAATACAAATTTCGCTGGGCGTGGAATTCCCAGCCCTGGACAATGGCAGGCCTGGGATTTCCCAGGCCAGATTTTTCGGAAATTTTGGTTTTTAGGAAATTGTGTCCTTAATTTGCCCTTTTAAAAAAACGCACGGGGCAAAAAAAGTTAAAAATTCTCGACTATTTTATAAAATTTATTTTTAAAAAATTCGCCCGTGCGAAAAAATTCTACCAAATAAAAATGATATTTAAGTATGTATTGACAACAATTGGGCACGCAGGCATCGTAGTATGTAATTACACTTCATGCAAACAGTTGAGCATGCATAGCGTGCTAAGTAGCTATCTACGGCTTGGAAATCCCAGCCCTGAGCAATTTTTGATAATTTAATCATGGAAAAAATTCAGGGCTGGGAAATCGCAGCCCTGCCGTTTAAAAGGGCTGGGAAATCCAAGGCAAACTGGGCTTGAAAATCCCAGCCCCGGCATGGGATATCCCCGTCGTAGCCCTGACTGCCATTGCTACATATGTATGTATATATGAGGATTTGATTGGGTTGTAGGAGTAAATATCACTTTAATAGTAAAATCTGAGATAAATAAAAAATGGAGTTCAGAATTTACAAAATGTTTACAAATACTTACAAACAAGCAAAAAATTGTACCTAATAAATGTGAAAATATGAATTTTAATGTGAATAATATGATTATTGGTGTTTGAAATAGTTACGAAGGTGATTTCCAATTTGCATTTTTACATTTTTCGGGTAAAAGTATATTTTTTATTTAATATTTTGTAAAGTCCGAACTCCATTTTTTGTTTAGTGCAGATTTTACTTTTAAAGTGCTATTTACTCCCACAACCCAATCAAATCTGTAGCAGTGGGAAAAATTTTGAAACTCTGAACTTCGGTAAGGATGGGCATGGAACTTAGCCCTAGTTCACTTTTTCTTATCTCGTCGAGTACTATGACATATCCAAAGGCCATCAAAATCGGCCACTGACAACTTCCGACTTGCTACTCCTGAGTGAACCTGCGTGGGGTCACCCTTCCTACTCATCTTTTACGAAATTCTCTTTGCTCGACCTACAAGCACTTTCCCTACCGCGTAATTCATTAGATATTTATGTGACACTTCATGCTTATAAATATTAGAAATGCTTAATATTGACATTTTGCTAAAGCGGAAATTTGACGTCAAATCAATATAAATAAAGAGGCATATTGAGGATCAGGGGAATATATGAGCAAGATTTTTGTACCTTAAACCTTACTTAAGATCCTGCATATTAAGAATTTTGAGAAAACAAGTGATTTAAACAAAACTAATTTTAAAAAAAGGCGTACGCAGTTTGATAGATATCTGATACATGTAGGTATGCATTTTTTGCTATTCAATTTTATACCTCCACGTGTAGAAGTTATACATGCCGCTAGGTAAAAATGTCCTCCCGAAATATAGTGTCAAGCTACTAGTATCAAATACTACTTACTAATACCACTCCAGCATATGTAGTCATATATAAATACCACTTGGTATTATTTAAATACTGGATTTCTAAGAGTTTAGGCAAAATCAAGCGCGGGGTATGTTTGAATTGATATTCAACTCTAGTTGTTGAACATCAAAGTACTCCAAATGGCAGAAAAGCATTATTGGATTTTATCATTCCGGGTTACATAATATTCAGGGTAGTTTGAATTTATAGTTCCGACCTCTCTGAGGAAAAATTTGGTTGCAATGTCTACCGACATTGAAATGTGTGTTGATATATAAAAATCTGTTAACCCTATAAGGAGGATGATTAACTACAAGAAATTGCATTAATTCGGGCACATTAAAAGTGTGTTGTGGTCATGGTGCGGGAGGAGGAATTCGCCAGTTCTCACAAAACTCGAAAAAACTGAAAGATTCCAAATTTAACGCTGCGTAATATAGGGAACTTTCCACATTTTCGGCAAGAAAATGTTAAAATTTAACATTTGGTTGGAATAGGAGAAATCCTCAAAATGATGACCGATTTCACTCCGCGGAGGGAAAAATGTGAAAATCAATGACCTTGCAGGAACGACAATTGTCCTCCTCCCGCACCATGACCACAGTTATTCAGGACTACTTTTGTCCTCCTCCAGAATTAAAACATTTCCAAGAAAACGACAATTGTCCTCCATCCGAATTAAAGGGTTAAATACCTAGGTACAATTAAATACAATTTTTCTCAGAGCACAACATGGCTGCTTTCGCTTTGGCCGAACTGGTGGACAATTCTCTCTCCGCAACTGCTAACAACATCGAGCGAAGAATCATAGAAATTCGATTTTATGAAAACGGGCCAAATTCGTCCGTAGTCGTGCTGGACAATGGATGCGGCATGAGCTCTGAAGAACTTCGTACCAGCTTGAAACATAAAGCCCCAAAGGAAACACGATTGGCAGACGAATTACATCCGGCCTCTCAACAAGACGCTACTATCCCAGACGATGAAACTTACCCCATGTACTTAACTTCCAAGCTAAATAAATTCGGCGCCGGCATGAAAAATGCAATTTTTTCTTTGGGAGGTGATACCACCATTATGACGAAGAGGGCGGAAAGTCAGATTGTTTCTGAAGTTTCATTCTCCAAAAGTAGTTTGGAACAGAAAGAATCCCAAAACCAGGATCCGTGGAAAGCGGACATATTAACAGGCAAAGTGGGCAAATTAAGAAGCAACACAACCTCTGGTATAATTAAGAAAATCGTTCGTCAGGAAGCAACTAAGCCTAACTTTACCCACATTGTCATCCAAAATTTAATGCAAGATGGAGAGGAGTCCTTCCTTGATTTTTTACAAAGGGTTAAGCCCAATGATACCAGCCGGGATCTTGTCACCAATCACGCGACAACTATTGAGCAACAACTAGCTCATATTTATCACTATTACGTCCATGGACCCGATGGAAATGTTGAATTCAAAGAGGACATCCAATCAAACTCGATGGTTGACATTGTTATCTCCCGATTCAACGCGAAAGGAACCAAAACGTCGTCCATCAATCTTCGCAAAGTTTGCTCGGATTTGGAAACACGTTTCGTTCGGACGGCATCTCCCGACCCGTACCGCTTTACAATTCAGTCTCCCCAGTCACACAAAGTGACAGGAATTATACGCTATCACCCTTTCGAGTACGACCATGAAACCCTCCCCTCGATCAACACTAGGGTAGCTGATGCCAATCGAGAGGATATTTCCAGAGAAAAATTGTTCAGCCTGTGGTGGAATGGACGACTTATTCCACAAACATTTTTGCCTGCTTCGAACTGGTGCAGTCCTACAGACGGGATGAAACATAGTGACAAACTTTACAAATCATACGGACGAATATCTGGCTCCCTCTTTCTTAATGGGGATAACTGCGAAATAAACGATAATAAACTCAACCTAGTAACAACATCTGGGTTGAAGGACTTACTCAATGAGAGCAAAAATGTTTCAAATCAGGATATTATATTTAAACGGATAAAACTCGCTGAGAATCAATATCGCGCAAAGCGTATTTCTAACGGGATCAAGACAAGTTTCGAGGAATGGTTAACAAAAAGCCGAAAGTTTGACATGGAGGTCAAATACTCGAAATTAATAAATGGTAAGGTTCTGACTAGGGACACTACCGAGGTGCTGGTCGAACCCAGGGTTCCCACATATACCAAAATATTCTTTGGTGAACTGAAAGAATTTCCGTGTAAAACTTACTTTTCGTCAAGTTATGACGATATTTGTGACGAGCGGTTGACCATCGAGTGCAATGAGGAGAGATCGACGCCGCTCATTCTCTCCGTTTGTTTAAAGTGCCCTGCTGATGAAAACAATCCATCTTCATAACCAAAAATCAAAATTTTCAAAAATTTTCAAAAATTGCACATTATTTCAAAGTTTTGAAAATTTTGAAATTTTGAAAAAATTTTGAAATTTTGAAAAAATTTTGAAATTTTGAAAAAATTTTGATATTTTGAAAAAATTTTGATATTTTGAAAGAAATTTTGAAAAGATTTTGATATTTTGAAAAAATTTTGATATTTTGAAAGAAATTTTGAAATTTTGAAAAAATTTTGAAATTTTGAAAAAATTTTGAAATTTTGAAAAAATTTTGAAATTTTGAAAAAAATTTGAAATTTTGAAAAAATTTTGAAATTTTGAAAAAAATTTGAAATTTTGAAGAAATTTTGAAATTTTGAAGAAATTTTGAAATTTTGAAAAAATTTGAAATATTGAAAGAATTTTGAAATTTTGAAAGAAATTTGAAATTTTGAGAAAATTTTGAAAGTTCGAGAAAATTTTGAAATTTTTAAAAAATATTGAAATTTTTTAGAAAATCTGGTGAAAAAAAATCAGTTTTTGAAAAAAATATTGGTGGGATTTTGAGGATGGATTTTTTCATCAGCAGGGCAGTGTAAGCAAACCGAGAGGATGAGCGGAGTCGATCTCTTCCCATTGCACTCGATGGTCAACCGCTCTTCACAAACATCGTCACAACTTGACGAAAAGTTAGTTTTACACGGAAATTCTTCCAGTTCACCAAAGAAATCTTGCATTGTGCATATTTTGGTATAGGTGGGAACCCTGGGTTCGACCGGCACCTCGGTAGGGTCCCTAGTGAGATATATAAACTTTTTCATATACTACTGTATACATAGGCATTTATATAAGGTAGGAGATTCTGATTCCCCCTATGATTTTTACTTTATGGCCGACCGCCCCGCCCTATGCCCTGGAGGGCTCTGGGCAGGGCGGCTTCAAAAAGCCCCAACCGCCATATGCTTTCTAAACTAAAAACATAAAGCCACTACCAACATAAAACTAGTCTATTATGAAAACGTAAACTAAATTAAGGAGGAAATCTCGCTTAAAACCATTGCAAATATAGTTTTACAAAAGAATAGCCCAGTCTCTGCCTGTCAGTCTTTCGTCTGTCCCGACCGCCGAAAATGTCGGGATGTCTGGCTGGATGTTGGGATGTCTGGAAGGTCAAGAAAGGCCAGAATTTCCACAATGCACAAAAACACCAGAATTTAAATTATACCAGACCTCTTGCAGCCCCACTTTTATATAATACTTACACTTGATTTTAAAAGCAGTCAATATATGTAAGTATTATAAAAGCAGGACTGCAAGAGGTCTGGAGTAATTATAATTCTGGTCTTTCGGGGCCATAGATGCGCGGATACTCAGTGTCGGACATCGAGTGTCGGACATAGTGCCAGTGTCACTGGGTGCCACTGGACAAAGTGTAAGTGTCTATCCCAATCGCGCATGTATGTATCAGGCTGAATTTATCGGCCTTCTGGACATTCCGCACATTCTGGACATCCGGTTCATTCTGGAAGGTCAAAATTTTTGACCTTCCAGTCTGGTGATTTTTGACTCAAAAATCACCAGACTGTCCGGAATCTCCAAAATCACCGGGATGTCCAGTTTGGACATCCAGTTCCTCCATTTACAAAATGGATCCCGTGTTCTACACGGGCTATAGCCTAGTATGTAGTTTTATATTAGAATATATCTAAATACCCTACGTACCCAACACCGATTACTCAGGTGCCCGCCCTGCTCTTCGTCCTAAGAAAGTATGCCCTGCCCGCCCTACGCCCTATACTTTTCATTTTATTGCCCCCCGCCCTGTCATGTGCCGTATAGGGAAGTGCGGGCAGGACGTTTCTTAGGGCATGCCCTGGACTCCGCTCAGCTCTGTTCACTATGAACACTAGGCATGTGTGACTTGAACCCAGCAACACCGTTATGGACATTCGATACATTTTTCAATCTAAACCTGAAATGTAGCACAATTTCTGTGTAAAAATGACCTTTGGTCAAACTATGACGATTTTAGTGTCCAGCTGCTTTATTGCTGCGGGGCACGGATGGGAGGACGCTTCCTCTTCACCAACTAAACGACTCATTCCGTCACACTGCTATATATTTAATTTTATTTATTTCTGCATATCAAAATGCCCTCTGTTTTAAGTCAATTAAATATTAAACCCGGCTTACTATTAGTCACTCTTTAACTTGCGTCTAAATCCCGCCGCTCGTCATACTAGACACACATAATAAGTCAACATAGCCAGTCAGGTTTCCATCCACGCTATTCTCACTTTTCATGTACGTGTCTAATTTTTAGATCGATTCAGTCTTCCCAAAGCCGGACCCGAATTCTGCTACCAATATAAAGTTGCCGAGTGGGGTGGGGTTAGATTAACTGTTGGAGACGCTGTAAAATTGAGTAACCTTAACTCAAACCCACTCGATAGCCTCGGAAGGATAAAATCATTCCATGTCCCCCATTTGAGTTGCCACTGGTCTGCCGAAGATAAAGAATATACGAGTAAACCACAACAGTCCGTGTTTGCTCCTATATCTTATTTTTCAATCGAACGCCTTCCCACCGCGTTTTATGTGCATGAGGGACAGTCTCCAATTGAAGTCGAATCAATGGCATTAATCGACAAAAGTGTAGCTCCTTCGCGAGCCGCAGATCAAATTAAGGCCAAAAATGATGAACTCCACCTCGATTTAAAAACTGTTTGTGATTTCGAACCCAAGTTGGAAAATGATTTTGAGATCTCGGCAAATGCTCGCATCTTTGGCCCGGTTGGATTTGACGTTGTCAAAAAAAGCGACGACACCTCGGTGAGAGGTTACTTCCCTTTTTATCATCCGAGGGGGAAAAGGATCATCCTCATTTCAATGATCCATAGACTAGGTTTGTATTTATTTTATGTTCCCCAGCTCAAGTGAAACTTAGTTAGTAAAAAAAACATACTTTAATAGACGACCAGCGCAAACGCCACCTGGTTTACGAAGGAGGGGAAGTTTGCAAATACGTGGGAAAGCTAAGACCCAGTGGATACCACTTCAAAGAACTGGGTTAGTCAGATGTTTTTAATTAGTCAATGAAATGCAGTGAATTTGACGACACTGCTTCCTAATCTTTCGCATTGACATATCACCGACATCAGCGAAGAAATGTGAAAATTGAAAATTTGTGAATTTTAATCTAAGAAACATCTATTTGACGTTATATCGAATTCATAATGTTTGAGATACATATGTGAAATTCATACTCTAATTAATTAACTATTTAAAGTTCACTAAATCCATCGGAACCAAACTTTTCATGCTTGTCGCCTGTAACCAATTCATTGCAGCGCTTTGATCCTTTGCCCTGGAAGGTTGATAATGAGCTTCTTACAAGGAAAACTACCGATGGTGTCCAACGAGTTAAGGGTTGAGAACTATACGAAAATGTGCACAGTACATTACTTTTGTCGTTGATTGAAATAATTTCCGTTTAAAATTCACTTTTCGTTAAGCTGTGACGATATTTGTGCCGAGCGGATGACCATCGAGCACAATGAGTTTCCAGTGGGGGGAGTTGAACTCCGCTCGTCCTCTCCCTTTGTTTAAATTGACCTTGTCAATGAAAACTTCATCTCGAGAATCAGACAATATTTTGATATCGTTCTTTTTTTATTTTTCTAAAAAATGACATTGTTTTTTCAAGTTTATCGAAATCGCATTCATTTTCTTCAGTTTTCAATTTTACATCATTAAAAAAATTCAAAATTTCAAAAACTTTCAAAAATTTCAAAAAATGAATAAAATTTCAAAAAAAAATTCAAATTACAAAAATTCATCAAAATTTCAAATATTTCAAAAATTTTTCAAAGTTTAAATTTTTAAATTTTTCAAAGTTTTTAAAAGTTTCATAGAAATTTCAAAATATCAGAATTTTTTTAAACTAAAAATATCATGGTTTGGAGTTTTTCATCAGCAAGAAAGTCAACAAAGGGAGAGGATGAGCGGAGTGTGACTGCCCCATTGGGAACACATTGTGCTGAATGGTCATCCGGTCGTCACAAATATCGTTACAACAAGACGGAAAGTGAATTTTACACGGAAATTCTTTCACTTCACGATAGAAGTCAGGTATTGTCCACATTTTGATATAGGTGTCGAGCCTTAACTCGTTGGACACCTCGGTAGGATTCCTTGTTAGTAGTTTAAGAATTATACAGGCCAACACAGAAGGCCCATATTTCAGAAAAAGTACCCAGGGAATTTATGCCAAAACCTACCAAGGGACGTTCCCGTGTGCCCTGTCCCTTCCCAAGTAGTGTTTGTATTACAATGCGAGTTTCCAATCTTTATGGGGTAGCATTACTACTCATTCTGAAAAAAAATTGTTCGGAAAAAAATTCCACGCAGGAATAATTGATCAGAAACTGCGCGCTGACGGGCGTTTTTTATTGTTTTTTTTCAGAATTTAATGCCACACAGTGTAAGTAAAAAATATGATAAGCAGATTTTTAACTGTTCACACAGCATAATGAAAAATGTTTCAGTCAGAATTCATATTTTTTTACTTATACAAACTCGCTGACCGTTCACAAGGAACCGCGATATCATGTAAACTTATGATATCACGGAATTCCTTGATATGAACATGTTCATACTAAAACTGTCTGATGAAGGAGTTTCAGTCTCGTCTATGCATTTCCGTCAGGGTTGCAGAAATCTCATCTCATTGAAAAAAAGCGAGATTTATGAGAAATATGAGATTCTTGAGAAATATTCTAACGCCATCTAGCGTAGTCGAAGAGAACATGAAATTTGCTCAATGGATGAAAGAACAAGCATCCGTCGTTTTTTAAGGTGGGAGCTGTGAGTAGGTCATCTCTATAAAAGAATCGGATGGAAAACTTTGTGTGTGTGTGTGTGTGCTTTTTTGAACCTGCCACACTCCTGTCTCACTTGCCCCAAATCAATGCTCTTCTTGAATGACGGGCTTAAACATTCTAGGGCCAATAATTGGCCCTTAAAGCCTAGTTTCTAATAAAGTTATCACGGGCACGGGATTTATTTATTAGCTTTTACAAGAAGTACAAAAATTACATCCTTCCCACTGTAAAATTCACTCTCACTCAATTGCTTAACTTAATCAGCTGCAGTATAACGACAGATAACTCCATCTTACTGATTAGATCCGAAATTTAGTAGAATCAAATACAGCGAGTTGAAGACAGGAAATTAAGTTATTTATAAAGTAAGAAATTTTTTTATTTTGTAATCTTGATATTTTTTTTTATTTCGCGCGTGTTTTCTTATTAAATTACAATATTTCTCATTTATCTCATATTTCCCATCTCAGACCTAATTGAGATGATTGATGTATAACTTTTTGTAACACATGGAAATTTTCCATATGTCGCAAAACCTTTTGTATGGGAGTCTCATATTGATACATATATTGGATATGTGGTGTTGCATTCCACATGGATGTCTACATACACCGACTTAAAAGTGGAACAAATTTGTCATGTATACGGCATAATAAGATTTCAATAATTAAAATATGATATCACGGTTTCAGTGTGACCAGATCGAATTTGTTTTTATTTTAAAATTTGCTTATTCTATTGTTTTTTCTGAGTCTCTCGTATTATAATATTTCAAAACATACTTGACAAAATTTTATCTGTTCAAAACATACCACGCTATTGGCAGACATACGAACAAATCGATGGTACTTATTAAGTATGCTGGGGGCTATTTTACTTAATCATTGTATATCTCTTTAGACGCCAAGTATGGGAAATGTGACCAAATTGGGAAATATATTCTCAGCTTTCGGTCTTACATTGTAACTTCCACCGGAACTTTGCCTACAACATCCACAGGCCTACGGAGAGCGTCCACGCCAGCGGCTGATTCCCCCTACGAAATTGAATGGGAGCAGCCACTGGATTCTAGGGGCAGAAAGATACTCAACGTTGATGGTGGGCAAATACGGATGCCATATTTAGAGTTCAATTTTTCCGTTATTGCCGGGCCGCCAGACAAGTTCGAGATGTACCAACTTAGTACGTCGTTTCAGATAGATTTGTGGTTGCAAAAGTTATCACGTTATTATAACAATATATTTAAATGAGACACCATGTATGTACCAGATAGTTTATACATCTAGTTATAACGTTTATACGTATGTATGTAGGTACCGAACACCTTACAATCGGGGTTAGATTCAAAATTAGTTTTACCTGTAAGGATGCCGGCGGAAATTGCATTACTGGAGAAAACCTGGAGGCTGCAGCAGCATTGTTGAAACCGAATATTACTTTCTTGATCAAGTAAAAATTGCATTTGTCTAAATTGACGTACTTGATAATCTAATCATTACATTTTATCGGGAACAAGTTGATTCTGAACTTCCTTTCACGTTTGGGGGGTTGTGTGTCGACGGAGATAAACTAGTTATTAAAGACGTAATCACGAAAGGACACCTTAACAACAACGAATTCAAGGTGATTACACTCGAGTATTTCACATAAATGGGCTTCATTAACTTGAGCCTATTATGGTACGTCTTGTGGATACTTGCTTGATTTTATATTGCTGATCTCCAAATGACCCAAGTTGAATCAATAAGCTCGGGTACTGAGAATTTGCTGAACTGTCGACATCATATGTTTGTAGGTACATGAATACAGACATGTATTGCCATCAGCAGACCCGAAGGGGTTCCCCTTAAATTTCTTGGATTGTGTGTACTTAATAAGTTCATAACCCATGTTATAATGTCTATGTATGTACCATATAGGGATTTATTTATGGGGAATAATGTGTGTGGTCTTAAGTGTGTTTTGACTATTTCCAAAATGTCTCATTCCCGCATTCCGTACGCTTACCCTACTATATTACTTATTTTTCTTCTGATCTATTTCTAGAATGGCAAACTTCAAATTAAATTTGCAATGGACACAGGTCACTCGAAATTTTGCTCACATAAAGTTCGTATCTATCCTGGGGTCCCCGTAAGAATTGAGTCTCTTCAACAATCTGTCCAAGTGGAGAACGGATCCAAGCCCAGTTTAATCTGCCGTGTCCTAGATTGTGGTAATAATATCATCTACGGCGACAAGAATAAACCAGTCTTGCTGGACTGTGACATTACTAGTATTAGTGGAGAACCCATTCTAAAGAGCAAAGTCCTCGCGACACAAGAGCATCCTCAGAAAATGGAGGACGGAATTTGTTTGCCGGAACTAAGAAATTCTTCCCCCGGATATTGGATTGAATTGAAGTGCCAAATTTCATACAGTACTCTAGACCCTGCCACTGTAACAATTCAAATGATACCAAGCACTGGCCCACAAGTCATTCACCTTTACTGGACAAGGGAACATAAGTCCGTTGAAGAACCAACAATAGAAATATATGACAAATCGTCAAGGGATGCAAAAATTGGGGAGCAACTAACATTCAGTTACAAAATATTCAATGGAATCGGAGAAGAAGTTAAATTCAATGCTGCAATACACAAAATGAAAGTTAGTTGGGCGAAGGACCTGGTTATTGACGAGAACATGCCGAAATACAAGGTCCCCGACCAGGTGATTCACGAGAAAGAATTTGTAACAGAATTGACACTTCTTAGCGACAAATATGGAGAAAAAATTAGGCATTCTTTTACCTTGACATCCCTTCCTGGGGAGCCTTCCAACCTGCATGTAAAGGTTGATGGAGCCCGTCCACGTGAAATCACGAAGGTCAAAATAGGTGAAAAACTACCGAACTTAATTGGTAAGATCACAGATGGCAACGGCAACATGATCAAAGCACTAAATATGGATCAACTAGAACGCGACTTGGACATTTCCGTCAATGAATTAAAAGTCATCTCGGACATTGCGTGCTTAAACAATACGGAAGGCTCGTTCGTAATAAGAAATGCAGTTATTCAGTCATATGAAAAGGATGCACGAGCTCATCCAAAACTTGGGAATATCGAATTGACTGTTACTTATAAAGAAGAATTTTCTTGTACGATTAAGCTAAACATCGTCCCTGGGCCCCCCGTGGGACTAGTTTTCATTCTAAATGGGCAGCAGCAAGATCAGAGGGGAACCTTCAGCACCCCAAATGGATCACAAATTATTACCTGCGCCCGATTGGTGGACGTGTTTGGGAATTTCACCAAACCTGAAACTCCTGTCAAAGTAAAATTAGATTTCTTACCAACGAATGGTTGGGTTGACCAAGGGCGGACATCTAATACCTTCATAATATCAGAGGATAACGACGGCAGAGCAGATTTCCACACAATTACAGCTGGGGTAAAACCACACATTAAGCCAAGACTGGATGGTAGCTGTAAGCTCAAGGATTGCACCGGAAAATGTTACGGGAGACCCCTAACTCTTAAGCTTGAAGCTGATTTTGATGGTAATCCGTTATCAGATATTTGCAAATTACACCTCACCTGTCGCTCAGATATACCGAGCCTATTGGTCCCAGATGATGTTGGAGGTCAGGGATCTTTTATCTATCAAAGTGGCTCAAATTTCGATCACTTAACGGTATCTTTGCAAGCAGAAGATGGTAGTATGTACAAGCAAGCGGAAGTAAATGCACTAACCCTATACCTAACTCCGGAGGGCGAAAACAGTCTAGAACAACGTGAGGTCATTGACATACCAGCTGCCAACGTGCATGAAGGCATCTACACTTTTGGCCAAGTCCCAACCAAGGCTGGACTTTATACCATAAAATTTATTTACCGCTGTGGAAGTGCAGAAATTACAGCAATATTTAAACAATTGCACGTCACCCCTGGTCCGGCTCATTCGCTCCTGCCACATTCCCCCTTGTCCAACTTGTCGGCATCAAACCATCCAGAAAATTGTGACCATCGAGTAATCTTTGGGAATCTGAAACTCGTAGTAAGAGATCAATATTGCAATCCTGTTTGGACAAACGAACATAACCACTCTGATGGAGGTGACGTCAGAATGGAATTTAGGGGCGCTTTACAACTAGAACATCTTGAAAACCATGTAAATTTTGTGTCCGGCTTACCAATCAAGAATGGATGCATACTTATTCCAAGATTATCACTTCTACCAAGCCTAACACTACCGAACGGGTCTCAGCAAACAATACACTTCATTGCAAGACTGATGGACCAGTCAGAATTTATTTTTCCCTTGGAGTTTACATTCTATAACGATGCCCATGGACTGCAAGCTGGGCGAAAATTGGCGAACGAAATTACTGTTTTGGACGAGCAGATAACAAGTAAGGAGGGAAAAGTTCAAGATTTGCAAAGACAGCTAACTGCAATTGCTAAAAATATAACGCCACTCGACGACGCAAAAAAAACCTTAGTTAAGCGTTTAAAGGTCCACGCACCGACTACAGATAGTTATTTTAAAGCATTGGAAACATCCCAAGGCATAACTCGACTTATAGCCAATGATTCAAGGAGGGAAAAGGATCTTGAAAGTAACAGAAAAAAGTGCAACATCCCATCAGGTCCTGCAAGTGATGAACCAGGAGTTTTAGGACCGATTGGGTTATTGGCGGAAATAAAACCCCAAAAGTTGGGTAAGGCATGTATACGTACTTATCCAGCATAACCGTGATTGCCTACTTCCAAGATAAAACTAGTCCATTCTCTGTGTTTCTGTGTGTCTGTTTGTCCACAGGTAACACATCCCTTGAATGTATTACAGAGCGAATGCATTCAAGGGTAGCACAAGCGAAAGAGTGTGGACTCCGCATCAACCAGTAATTTTTGTAATTTTCAAGATTTTCAAGTTTTTGATAACTTTCAAAATTTCCGATTTTTGCCAATAAAAATGAAATGTTTGAAATCCCAAAATTCATGACAAACCTCGAATTTGTTTGTAATATTGACAGTAATTTAACAAAATCTATGAATGATTTGTGAAAGCAGCGATCGCTTGTTAGGTAGAAGAATCGTAGGGTTTGTTTTTATCACGCTAAAAATGTTTGCTTATGTACATATTTGCGCTTGTATCTTTCTTCAAACTCAATTTGAAGATAATTGTCATGGTAAAAACTATATTTAGTTTAGCTCCGTTGATAGCAATCCGGAAGGATTTGAAACTTAACACTCGAAAAAGTCTAAGGTAGTCTAGTTTTACTTATTTATTTGCCACCGTGGGGCAACGAGAATATCTAGTGTAATGATACGTAGACCATCCATTGCACGTACCAATGATATCAAAACTGCGACGGAATATATGCGGTTATGTAACGCCGCACGAGGGCCTGCATGTCCCACCATCCTCACCCGGGATGGGCGACGTCTCTGTGGAGACGGAATAATTGGGGGTAAGTCGACCCAGGCACCTCCTCAAAATCGCTATACGTTCGGATTAGCCCCGACCAGTGAACTTATTCAGATTCGAGAACGGTTGAAAATCCTGCCTTCATTGAAGAAAGCGATGGAGGCTCTAGAGAATGCCGAAAGGGACGATACGCCACAGAAGCTGGCTCTAAACGAAGACCTGCTCAAACTGGAAACTGAGAATAAGGACCTCGAGAAAAAACGGGATGACTTGAAAAATGAGTTGGAACATTTGAAGGCTTATGGTAGTAGGGCGTTATCAACACAGCATGGGCCGACCATCTCGTCCAACCTGGTAACGAGATCAAGCCCAAGGAACGCAGGTGTGAGGAATGGGCAACCCCAGGCAAAAAGATTGAAGTACCAGTAACATGTAATTACTTGTACAAAATTAATTTTCATTATGTACAATTCTTTCACGAAGAGATACAGAGCTGTCTGTTAAATGCAGGAAAATATGAGAATGAAACTCATTGAATTTAGAATTGCCAATTGAACCAAGTACAGAAAAAAGTGATTTGTGGGCTGACCGGAATCGAACCGGCAACTTTTCGTTCACCAGACTACCGAGTTACCACTTTCCCCACAACGCCCTTAGAATAGCATTGCATCTTTTTCCTTTACTTGGGTGATGCATATTTTTAAACATGAATATCCCTCCTGTTTTTAAAAATATGCATCACCCAAGTACAGGAAAAAGATGCAATGCTATTCTAAGGGCGCTGTGGGGAAAGTGGTAACTCGGTAGTCTGGTGAACGAAAAGTTGCCGGTTCGATTCCGGTCAGCCAACAAATCACTTTTTTCGGTACTTGGTACAATTGGCAATTCTAAATTCAATGAGTTTCATTCTCATATTTTCCTATATTAATTCACTCATTACCGCAATTTTCAAATATCAATGTTTATATAAACACCAGCGGTTCCTCTTGTTAAATTTCGATACGATGCATAAAGGCAGGGTGAAGAGGATGAATATCCCTCCTGTTTTTAAAAATATGCATCACCCAAGTACAGGAAAAAGATGCAATGCTATTCTAAGGGCGTTGTGGGGAAAGTGGTAACTCGGTAGTCTGGTGAACGAAAAGTTGCCGGTTCGATTCCGGTCAGCCAACAAATCACTTTTTTCTGTACTTGGTTCAATTGGCAATTCTAAATTCAATGAGTTTCATTCTCATATTTTCCTATATTAATTCGCTCATTACCGCAATTTTCAAATGTCTGTTAAATGCATACATTTTAAGGTACTAGCTACGTTTGTGAGGCCATTCTCACCTTAACTTTCTGCAAGAATGCATTAGGCGAAAGATTGTACATATTGTAACCCGTCCCACTTGTGCATGATCAACACAAGTGAGACGGGTTCTCAACAACATTCCGGGATTTTCTCCTTTTTCTGCCATCTCTGGCATAATAATTGTACATTTTTCTCTCTTTTTTGGTGAACGTGGCCCATGCCTCGCTCTCCTTAAAAGATTCAGTCTAATCTCTCTATGGAGCAACATCTCCAATTTTCTAACTCTTAGGAAATATTATATTTTGTGGGTGAATATTATTTAATTGATTAAATAAATAATTTATAAAGATAACCCCCACACCAAGTGTTGCTCCACATAATTTGCACTAGCTGTTATCAACCGAAAAGAAAGGGATAATCATTTAAATCCAGGGATAGTGAGGATAAGGGAGTGATATTTGAACACTCTCATCATAAAATCTCCTCATATTACTGAGGCTGAGTTGAGTTTAGAGGCACTCCCCTTAATCTCAGTGTAGGTTTCGAAGGACGCGTCGATGAATATTTTTAGTATTTTGTACGTGTTCCTCATCGTTTTCTGATAAGGAATAATGCCATCAACTCAATGATTCAAATATTGTAAGGCCCTTTTCAAGGCCTGCGTTCCACCATGCACCATTTACAATTTTGCAAAGTCCAGTTAATGCCCTTAATCTTTGCGTAAAACGGTGCACTGGAGTGTTCCAAATTTTTTAAATTCCAAACCAGTGGCATCAGAAGACTCTACAAGGGTCCCTTGTGTAAGAAAAATTGCGGTTTTAAATTTTGGATTTTTCTCGACTGAGTACTAATTGGTTAATTCTGAGGTCTAAGATGACAAAGCATTATCATGAAAAAATAGTTTCGATGTGTCCTCACCAATTAGCATTAGCAATAAAACCCCCAGTGGTAGCTGCAAATAATGCTCAATACAGTACCTTAGATTCATCATTACCTTTGGATAGGTTTATCTCAAAAGTGAACTTACACCACAGCTCATAATGCCAACCACCATAACCATTACGGCAAACTTTCACTTTTCTCAATCGTGATTTTCTCCATGTGATTTCCTAACTTTGAATAGTAAATCATTCGGGTTTGTGGTTATTTTTGAGTGAGGAATATTTTCTTGTTCAGTTTAGTCACAGATTCATATTTTTAGTGTTACACGTGATCGCGATACAGCTTGAAGGATATGGACTTACTGATTGAGCTGTGACATTGTTTTTGCACTCAAATTATCGTCGGTTTTTACGTTTATGATTTAAAATCTTGATGAGAGTTATTTTTATTTTAAGGATGGATACATGATGCTTGTTTGCCCCTACGATTTGGGATGATAAGTTTTTATTTGTTATGCCACGGTTAACTGTTCGGGCGGACATCGGTTTTCGCAATTTTCGGGGGTTGTCGTTTTTTGTTGGTGGGAGGCCCAGTCCATTTGTTATATTCCTTTTTCCAATGGAATTATGTATTTTATGGACAGATGGAATAAAAATTATGATTCTACCACATTTTAATAACTGCAAAATTTTGTAGGGGGCATTTTAGCTTTGCAAACTACTTTTACCGCATGGAACACTTTGGGGTCAATTTTGTAACCCATGATCACATTGTTTTTAAATAAAAAATATGTCGACTACGTGGTCGAGTCCGGGCTTGTAAACAGTATCTAAATTTTCCGGAATCAATGATGGGTTATTGAGATACTGAGGCTGAGTTGAGTTTAGAGGCACTCCCATTTATCTCAGTGTAGGTTTCGAAGGACGCATCGACGAATATGTTTAGTATTTTTTACGTGTTCCCTATCGATTTCTGATAAGGAATAATGCCACCAACTCAATGATTAAAATATTTTAGGGCCCTTTCCATGGCCTGCTTTCCAGCAATCCTTACTCACAAGTTTGCAAAGTCCATTTTACGCGCTAACTCTTTTTTAACAAACGTCTACCGAGGTGTTCCAAATCCTTAAAAATTCTAACCAAGTTCATCAGGGAACTTAGCGAGGGTCTCTTGTGTAAGAATAATTGTGTTAAAGAATACTTTATTTGTTTCGGCTGAGTACTGACTCGTCAAACTTGTGGTCTAAGATGACGCAGCGTCATCATGAAAAAATAGTTTCGACGTGTCCTCACAAATTAACTTTAGCAATCATACCCCCATTTGTAGCTGCAAATACTTCTCAATAAAGTACTTTACATTTAACTTTAGCTTTCGTGGGATTCTTATAAATGGTCAACTTCCACGACAGCTCATAATGCCAACCACCATAATCCTTACAGTAAACTTTCACTTTTTGCAATCGCGAATTTCTCCATGCGATTTCCTGACTTTGAATAGTAAATTATTCGGGTTTGTGGCTACTTTTTAATGAGGAATATTTTCTGATTCTGTTTAGTCACAGATTCATATTTTTAGTGTTACGCGTGATCGCGTTACAGCTTGAAGGATATGGCCTTACTGATTGAGCTGTGACATGGTTTTTGCACCTAAATTATCGTCGGTTTTAAGGTCTATGATTTAAAATCTTGATGAGTAGTTATTTTTATTTTAAAGATGGATACATGATGCTTGTTTGCCCATACGATTTGGGTTGATAGGTTTTTATTTGTTATGCCACGGGTAACTGTTCGGGCGAACGTCGGTTTTCTCGATTTTCGGGGGTTGTCGTTTTTTGTTGGTGGGAGGCCCAGTTCATTTGTCATATTCCTTTTTCGAATGGAATTATGTATTTTAAGGACAGATGGAATAAAAATTGTGACTCCATCACATTTTAATTGCTGCAACATTTTGTTAGGGGACATTTTAGCCTTGCAAAGTGCTTTTACAGCATGGAACAGTTAGGGGACAATTTTGTAGCCCATGATCAATTTTTTTGTATGTAAAAAATATGTCAACTTGGTGGTCGAGTTCGGGCTTGTAAACGGTATCTAAATTTCCCAGAATCAATTATGGGTTATTGAGATATGTTGAAAAACATATCGTGCCTGTAAACTCAACTCAGCCTGTATGTCGAAAAACATATCGTGCCTCTAAACTAAACTCAGCCTGTACAACATAAAATTTAAACACTACCGTTACAATACCCATGTATATAAGTTACATTTTTTTCAGAGGTTGTACACTCTTAATAAAATCAATACCATTTTAATACCACGGCCGTATTATATGGTGACTCTACCGTTTTGGTATTGATATAATACCCTGCGGTATTATTATGAGTAATACTGCCGCGGTATTACTTTATTAATTTATAGTATTAAACAATGAACTTTCAGTATAAATCGTCTTGTAACTCTCGGTATTGATTATTAAATGTACAGTATTAAAACGTTAAAGCATGATAATACTGCCCGGTATTATAAATAATACTATAATTTGATGCCTTTATAATGAAAAATAATACTGCACGGTATTAAATCATTAATTGATGGTATAAAATGCATTGTACATAATCATATTTTATTTTCAATAAATTACAACTTTTAACAAATTTAAAATAAAAGTTACTGCTATAATAAATAAATAAAATTATTTATAACTATTACTACTTTACAGGACAAAGTTTCATGAAATATATATATATATATAACTTACAATTAAATATTACTACAAAAAATGTCTAGAAATTACAAATAATCCTGACAAATTACAATTTTGTTTAATCTCCATCGCATCATGTGTTACTAGATCTTTTACATTTATTACTCTGTACAAATTTTCAGTTACTCTAACCTTATAAGCAAATAAATGGCGATAAAAAAACTCAGTTTCCAGAACTTTGAGAATAAGCAGACATGAATTATCATTTTGAATCAGAAATTCAGAAATTATTCCAAACTTTGGAAATATTGTTCCCATTTCGAAACAAACCACAAAGTTGTGTTTATAATTGTAGCCATTGAACCAAATCTGATTTGTTGTCATCATTTCAGTTTTAATACAGATATCATGATCGTTTAAATAGTTTTTTAATGATTCTGCAATATCGAAGGAATCATCAAACTCAGACATAGTAGCTTTACAAATTTTGTCAGTCTTAATTCCATGATGGAAATCTAAATTTTTGAAAACATGCGAACTATATTGCTGATGCCTCATGGCAAGTGAAAAACAAATATTTTTAAAGTTTCTATTGTTATGGGCCAATTGAGCAAAATAATTGTGTTTTCCTTCAAACCGCATTGTCCATAGAGAAATTAAAGGGCCAGACATTTTAATTATAAATGGATAATGACACATAAAATGGTGTTTGGGTAGCAAATTTTGATCTGGAAATAGAAATTTAAAGAGCGAATGGTGTTTAATTATAAGCGATTTCAAGGTTAAAATTGATGACTCATTAAAAGATCGAAAAAATATAAAGCTCATGCATTCTAATAATTGCAAAATTAAATCCCAATATTTTAAATGGACTTCATCGACAATTAAATCTCCCAAAATCATTGGTAAAAACCTGATTAAACACCAAGCTTGCGCAGCTTTTTGACCGATTCTATTTCCAGTTCCATCTAATTTTATTGGACTTGGTTTATTTTTCGATTCTAAATATCCAAAATCAAAAGCGGAGATTCTGTTGTTGACTGTTTCAAGATTAAAACATCCCAAACTAATTAATTTTTTGAAAACTAATTTAATTTCATATGGCACGACTCCCTCCAAGAGATCATGCATTATGTCAGCTGTTGGAGAATCTAGAAAATGGTAAAATTGAAGCGAATTTAATTCACTCCAAAAGTTTCTGAATTTAAATGTAAACTATAATTGGTCAAATTTCGTATCGGCATATAATTATGGTCAAATTCATTTTGGATTTCAGCCTTTGAAATATAACAAATTCGACAGAAAAAATTAGAATTAAATGATTCTGTTAAACCAAGTAACGAATTTCCACCCAAATTATCGTGAACGACAGAACAAACTGTGCCTCGAAAAATATTTCCCCCAATTGAAATTCCTGTCGTTTCTAAAATCTTAATGTCAGGTAAAACATGTTTTAAAATTGACCCATAACCATATTTTTTTGCGTCTTCACTATAAAACAAAGCTAACAAATGAATTTGCGAAAGTTGAGAATTTATATAATCGGGCAAATTACGTAAAATAAAATAAAGCGCCCCAAGTTTGTGGATCCCTTTTTTAGATCCCAAAGGATTAACTGTTTCAAAGTCATCATAGAATAATTGTAACTGGATTGATTGTGGATATTTAGAAAAGAGTTTGTTATTTTTAAATGACTCAGAGTCACAGAATTTAAAAATTTGTCCATTGGGTTTTGAAATAGATTCGAAATATTGGTATAATTGTGGAATTTGGATTATTTTTTCAAGTGTTTTCAGCAGAGGTACGTACATAAACGTATCTTCCACGACTACTTGTTGTCTTTTTGCATCTTTAATTTTAGAGTCTATTCTGCTCCCTAAACTTATCTCAGTTGGTAAAATTAAATTATTTCTGCTCTGGTACAAGTTTTGCCTCTGATAGCTGGACTTAACTTTAACAAAACCAGATACTAATGAGCGTATTTGTATAGCAACCATGTCAAATTGTTCACCTAAAGTTTGTTTCCCTAATTTAGTAACTAAGTTAATAATTTCTACAAATACATATTCCATTTCTTTTACAATTACATCCATTACAGAGTTATTAACACCACTTGCAATTATAGAGGAACAGAAATTACCTAAAATTTCTGAAACTATTTTTATACCAGTATCAACGGAGATATTTTCAAAAGTTTTGGGATCCTCAAAGTCAATATTAATCTCTTGTTGAGCTTCACTAAAATTGGAACTATTTAAAGTTGGCTCAAAAAATAGATTTGGTATCTGGGAGCCTATTTCTAGAAACTTATCGTGTGACTTTACATGACGTAAAAATCCACTCCATGTCCCTAACGTTATATTACATGAACTAAAAGGGCAAATTAATTGAGGAAAATTACTGTGTCCATAATTATGTACAAATTTTAAATGAGTTTGAAACTCACTCGCCCTTAAAACTAATATCTGACAGACTGGGCAAGTAAACATTTTTTTAAATGAGATTATTAAAAATATTACTTAATTGAGTAAAAACACTTTTCACCTTTCCCGAAAGATCAGTACTGTCCACGTCAACCTTATAAATATAAACTTGAAGAAATTTCCATAGGCCTTGCAAGTTCTTGTCGTATTCTGCTCCGAAGACGTAGTGTGATTTGAAGAGGAGGTCAATTGCTTGTGCAGAATTCTTAGCGTCAATTGGCAGCAGTACTTTATCTACAACGAGATAAAAGGAAGAAAGTGTTTTCTTGTTTTCTCCAAGACACAAAAGGTTTGGTTGTCTCTTATCCTCGCTCCAAGTATCCAGGATGGATGGTAGAGGAGTTGCAGTCTGGAAAAAAAATGTTATTAAATTCATAACAACAATTTGAATAATTAAAATAGTTAGAATACATTTTAATTTAAAAGTCATTATGTACCTTATAAAATGAGATCAGCAAATTCTTTGCTTCATCAATTGTACACCGACTCCCTTTTCCTCTCCCTTGGGCAGCTGGGGGGATTAAATAAAGAAGAACGAAGAGTGCTGCTACTTCAGAGTCCCAATTATCTTTAAAATAAAACGAATTTTGATAAATTTCAAGGAAAACTTTGTTTTAAATAAACCAAATTTTTAAAAAATAGTATTTTGCAAACCAGACTCCTCTGTTAGAAATTTACATAAAGACGGGGATTGCTTTAAGTCTTTCACTTTCTCCAGCAGCTGTGAGGAAAATGACGGCCAAATTCTTGTAAAGTTTTCTTGTGATTCTCCTTGAAGAAGAGAAAATTCCAAGCGGATCTAACATAAATAAAAATTAATGTTTAACTCAAATAATTAAAAATACTGACAAATAATATTGATTTAATCGGATTATACTAAAAAGTCGCAGTCCGCAAATTTTGTATAAACCAGCAGGATTGATTGTGGATTGACTCGTCGTAAGTAATTTCTGTGCTCGAGGGTGTCTTGCGCCAGTTTAATTATTTCTGCGGATCCCGATTTTGCACTGCTGCCATTTAAACTCCTAACTAACTCGTCATATTGTCCGTTGTCAACGTTGTCATCCAGTTTTGCAGTTTTAGGTTTAGGTCCGCCAGTTCCAAGCTGTGTCTTCTTTGCCCTTAATTCCTTCTTTTTTTCAGTGGTTTTCAGTTTTTGGTGAATTGTCCTCAATCTCCGTTGGATTAGTCCTGACCGTCCAATTTCATCAAAAAGTATATCCTGCAATGCAATAAAAATTATTTAATTACGAAAATTAAATATGAATTAATTATTTATAAAAGTTATATGGTTTACCAAGCCTTCAGTTGACCCAGCGTATCGCCAACATGGAATATATTGAATAATTGCTGACGCCAAATTCTTTTGGTCAGAAGAACTTGGAGATTCACTAAAATTACAAAAAATACAAAAATCAAGTTTAAATATTTTATGGAGGAATTTTAAATACAAATAAATACTTCTTACCCTTTTAGCTCCACAAGTTTTGAAACAAATTCTTGCACAAGAATCACAGCTGACTTGTCATCGACAAACCCTTTTGTGTTGCAATCTGCTACAACTCTGCTAATTTCTTGATTATCATTAATTGAATTACCCAGCACCTAAAATAAATAATAAATAATAATATTTTAACTGTGGGTAACTAATAATTTTATTTTTACCTGATTAAAACCATCCTGTTGCAGCCGTTGAATTTTGTATGATGGTGAATGGGTGACTGAAAAGTAAATAAATATTTATGTACTTATATATTTAGACATTTAAGAATATAAATATACGATTAAAAAGCTCACACATTAACTCGGTACTTGAAGAGCTGTTCCTGTCGTCAGGATTCAAATTAATTGTTATCTGATGAGATTCTTCTCCACCCAACTTAAAGACTATATTTGGAATGTTTTCAATTTCTAATAAAATATGAAAAACATCCGAGTCAACCTCTGCCCCCTGATCATCTTCAAGTCGGATAATTACTTCGTTCCCTAAATCGAATTTCGTTCGCACTAGAAAAAATAATTAAGATTGTTGGTTAAAATATTGTTAAATATATGTAATATAAGTTATTAACATAAGTAAATCGTGTGTAAATTTAAAATTTTCTTTGAAGTAACAAAATCCTCAAAATTTCCGTCACTTGGAATTAATTTTTTTGATGTAAAAGAATTTGATACTCGAACTAATTTTGTGGAGCTCATGTTGACGAATTGCTGAGTTGAATGTGCCGGGTACGCGTGGGGTAACGGACAAACTTGAGTCATTAAAAACATGGTATAATTTCAATACTGGAAAAGTATTGATCAATACTTTACAGTATTAAATAAGTTTTAAACTCTACTGGTATTAATTTTTTAAATATCAGTATTATTTTAAAACTGCACATTAGTACTATAATAGTAATAACTGTTAATACTATTTGCTGGTATTGATATTTTTTAAGAATCAATACCCAGCTTCTTAGAGTGTAATAAATATCTATGTACCTATATATTACATATATTGTGAGAATGATCACATAATAACACAATATTTTAACAAAATATGTCAACCTACCCTAATATCTGTCCCTAATATTCCATATTGTCCGTAATATTGAAACATGAAAACTCTTATTAAGTGTGTCGTTAACAATTCTTATTAGAAAGCAAGTTTCAGATACCATACGCAATTAATAATCGCGTATGCTGTAATGCTCCTGAAAATTACATAATTAGTAATTATGTACACGCATACCTGCGTGTAATCGTGCTTTTGCAGCAGAGGGGAAAACACATTTTTCTCACATCTGGAAACATATTTACATGCATGGCTGACACGCAGGGTTGATAGAGAAAAAGGGGGGAAGGGGGGTAAGGGGGTTAGGTAGGGGGGGATATGGGGATCAGGAAAGGTAGCCCTTCCTTTCGTTGGCAGGCTGACTATATGATACGCTATGGGGGTCAGGAAGGCAAAAAGAAACGCTGTCTTTCCTATTGTTTTCCTTTTATCGCTAATTTCATTTTCAAAATTTTTTTGCAACAAAACAATGCATCAGTTTACAGCACTTGAAGTTCCTACGACATTTTCACATTGTATTAGTGAAAAGTATCGGTTCTCCAAATTTGGATTTAAAAGGATCTGATTTTATATCTCATGTGGGAAATGTACCGGGAGCCACGGGAACTACAAGAACGCCTAGTTTGTATAAGAATAGCCCAGTCTGTCTGGATGTCTGTCCGTCTATCTGGAATGCATGCCTTCAATGTATAAGCAAATTAGTGCATTGAAGGATGGCAGCAAGGGTTGTCGGGGCAAGTGTACGAAGCCATGCCAACCATGCTTTTCTTGAGGGTGGGCCTGAACGGTATGGTTGATCTGCAAACATCCTTCAACTCTGAAATAAATACTTACTGTGGTGTCTGGATATTTTCTTCTTCAAACCTGCTTTTACAACTCAAATATCATTTATATTAGGTAAAATATTAAAAACCGCAACATATATCAAGGAATTCGAAAAATGTTTAAGTTCGTTTTGCAGTTTCAACATGTCACGTGGTTTCAAGGGGTTAGGAAATGTCTTTGGGGCATACCCACATTATTTTCCAGTCATTTTCTACCAGTCTCACATTGACCCATCTCACTTCCACCCATATCGACACGTCACCCGCTTAATTTGAACGCCCTCGATTACATCTTTCGAACGACACCACATATGACCGAATTCATTGTTTGAATTTTGACCTACACATAAGGTTACCGGAAGGTCAGAGGTAAAAAATATTAAAGCCATTGAATTCCTGGTTAAATATCCCATTAAAATTATACCCCACATGACGAATAACCGCAAAAAACAGGTCGTGACCTCTTTGTGACCTTTGTACTCCATCTTTGAAATTGACCTGCCTTTTGACTTTAGGAACGTGTGGTAAAAATTTCAGGTTTAAATTCACAACCGTTCGGAAGTTATTGTTCTGAAGTTATTGCATACAAACGGACGGTCGGACAAGGAATTTGCATAAAGAGGTTTCACCCCTTAATAATCATGTACACAAATGTCAAGTAATGATATAATCCTCAAAATCCACCTAGGCATCAGTAAACGAAGCCACCCAGAGCCGAATTTTTAAATATGACGAAATTCCATCGAAAGTCGAGATGACGTCCTTTGGAATCGTGGTGCTAACCACACTTGTAACTCGAGGTTCACGAGCCGAGCCAGTTGGCTCCAAAATGTCGCGAGCCGAGCCACGAGCCGAGCCAGTTGGCTCCAAAATGTCGCGAGCCGAGCCACGAGCCGAGCCAATTGGCTCCAAAATGTCGCGAGCCGAGCCACGAGCCGAGCCAGTTGGCTCCAAAATGTCGCGAGCCGAGCCACGAGCCGAGCCAGTTGGCTCCAAAATGTCGCGAGCCGAGCCACGAGCCGAGCCAGTTGGCTCCAAAATGTCGCGAGCCGAGCCACGAGCCGAGCCAATTGGCTCCAAAATGTCGCGAGCCGAGCCACGAGCCGAGCCAGTTGGCTCCAAAATGTCGCGAGCCGAGCCACGAGCCGAGCCAGTTGGCTCCAAAATGTCGCGAGCCGAGCCACGAGCCGAGCCAGTTGGCTCCAAAATGTCGCGAGCCGAGCCAGGAGCCGAGCCATAAAACTCCAAAGTATCGCGAGCCACGAGCCGAGCCATAAAACCCCGAAGTATCGCGAGCCACGAGCCGAGCCAACAGACCCCAAAGTATCGCGAGCCACAAACCGATCCAACTCCAAATTGTGACGATACGAGGTGTCGGTCGCTGCGCGGTTCGTAGTCGCGATACATAGAATTTTTATGACCTCACAAATGTCGTAAAGCCTCCTTGAGTTAATTCAACCAATAAATATGTTGTCTTACGCGGAGCGGAAGTGTAAAAAATGTTTTACGTAAAAATACAAATTCATACTCCTGAGATCGTTCCTTATACAACCATTACCATTACCAAGTATAATTTATTCCAAAAATCAATGTTTCACACATTTATCAGATATATATTCTATTATATTCTATTATAGATAAACTTATTAATTATAATTTGCAATTAATAAATGTTCAAAATGAATAATAAAAAATTCAAGTATAAGTGAATAACGACCTAGGTCGTTGTTCACTTATGCGTAATAATAATAATTAATACGTTAATAATAATTAATACATAGATTGAAATGTTGTAGTGTAGGCCGAATAGGATATGATAATGGCATAACTTGTTATTTTTGGCTGTCTTGGCAGAAGCGTTGCGACGCTTGTTGATTTGTCGTCGGTGGTTCTGTCTCCTTCTTGCTTCGTCGTCTTCTCTGAGATTTTCTTTCGTACTTTGGGTGGACCATGGATCTGGACAACCCCATGCCGCGTGCCCCTTAACTTCTCTACAGTTGTGACATTTTATTTGCATGATTTTATCATAATATGCCTGGCCTTGAACGATTATCTTGAAAAGTGTGTCCCTCCAAGTCTCGATCGATTCTGGAACGCGCTTTCCCAGACGACCCCTTGACACGCTGACTCGAGCATCAATTTCCTGGGCGCTGGCTGGAGGGTTTTCTAATAATCCTTTTATCATTATTTCCGTGAACATACTTCGTGGAGCCTCATCAATTAGGGAGGCGTGGTGATTCCTCCAGTCATAAACGGTAGCAAATAGGTCACGATGAGCTCCACTGATGGATATTGCCTCCTTTCTGCTCAGATATTGAAGCCCTGTTTGATCGACTCTCTTGGCGTACTTCGAGTTTAGTTTCGACTTGGTAGCGTCAAATGCGGTGTTCAACATTGAACTTTCCATTGCTCCTCCCAGCTGCAAAGTATTGTACTTAATTAATTAACAGGTTTACTATATACATACATAGATATGTACATATACATGCACACATATATTGGTAGATTTGAATAACGACCTAGGTCGTTATTCAAATTCAATAAGCAGGGGAAGTTGAGTAAATGAGAAATTGAATACATGACTTTTGATGATGATGACGATTCTAAGAAGGATATGCACATCGTCCCTTGCATATCTTAGTAGCTTTTTGTACCCGACGTCATGGTCTGATCTAGGCCTGAAGTCCGCCACTTGTGCATCCTTATCGATGTCTACTTCAGGGTAAAATAAGTTGCATAATTTTTCAAAAGTCATTGGTTGACTTCCGGCAGCTTTTTCCCATTGGTGCTGCTCATCAGCAGTAGTAAACTTTGATCTGCTTCCGATGTAATTGTGGTACCATCTCTTTCTATTTTCGAATGGTACCGATCTTGTAACGGTGTCAAACAAAGAATTTTGAAGGACTAGCTGGAACAGGATCTGCACATCCAAGACATTTACAATGTTGATAAAGAAATCCCTCTTGAGCCAAATTATATCGTTATCTCCACCAAAAAGATATTTGACGGCGCTCGTATCTTCTAAATAATCTTTAAGCGAAGACTTTATCAACTCCACAACAGGAAACACGTCAATAATGTAGTCCACATCTTTTGTCCCAATTTGTATGATGACAGTCATCCCTACAGATGTTAGGCAGCATGTTAAAATATGACCAACAACCTAGGTTGTTGGTCATATTTTTAATGCTAAAAGTGATCTGCATTGCAGAATATTAAACTTAATGTTTGATACTTGATACATACCCAAAAAAGAGTGGTCATCGTTCCCTTCTAAATCAATGCTTATTTGAGTCTGCATACATAAGTGTGTCATCATTGACTGGAATGATGTATCATCATTGACTATTTTCATGTCATTTAAGTAAAGGGGAGGATAAACAGGTTCTGGGAAATTCCCTAACAAGTTTTCCGGAAATTTAGACTCTCTTATTTGTGCTGCTTTCGAGTTAGACGCCCACATGTCATCCTTCGAGCCTGGATAAATATTGTTTTCATTTCATAATCATAAATGGAATTGATTTATAAAGATGAATGGGTGTAGAGATAGAGAAATTATAAATTACTGGAAACCTAGGTTGTTGTTTCCAGTAATTTATTTATTGGTGTCATTATTGTTACCATTGTTGAGTTGTCGACGGTGCAGTAAAAAATAGCGATAAGATTCCTGTGGCCCTACATCTGCTTCTCCATATTTTTCGAACGCCTTCCTCTTCTTCTCCCAAAATGTAAGTTTCTGGAAGCGGTAGAATTGCACACATTTAAATATAGAATCAAATTTTAGTCAGCCTTTCTTAAATGTTATTAATTTAAAAAAAACCTTCTCGTTAGATGATTCTGCTGGCTGATGTTGAGATTGATGAGCGTTGAACGTCTCGAAGATGACATCCGTTAACTGCGATTGTGGAGGATTATTGGCCGATGCGAGCGTCCTAAGTTTTCTGTTTGCCCGTTGCCTTTGCCCTTTGCTCATGTTTACCTTACGCTTTAAATTAAATATTTTCAAGATTTTATTAATGTATTATTAATCATTATTACTACTCAGAAAATTAAATTTATTATAAAAAATCAAGAACAACAACCTAGGTTGTTGGTCTTGTAATTTTGTCTACTGAAAATTCTATTGTTTATTAAAAATTATATACAAATGATTTACTTACGTTAAATCCAAAATCGAAGGTGTCATACAAATCAACTTGACCATCACTTTCGTCATCATGATAACCGGCTGGGAGGAGTTGAGACATTTAAAGTCACAAAGTTAACGAACTTATTTGGGTGTGGTGGTATTGAATATTTTATCTGATGAGGTGATATAAACTACTTATCATCACAATACTGGTGTGGTACGTATGAGTGTATGTCAGTGAGAGGAGCGAGAGAAATGTTGTTGACAACTTGAAAATCAGCAGCCGACTGCGGCCGTAATACGCACACATACCGTACATATGTAATTCACATTGGAGAAAAAGCTGGAGTGTCTTGGAACTACTTGGATGTTCCAAGTTGGAATTGAGAAAAAAAAGGATTTCTCGGAAACGATATTTAATTTTAGAAATCCAACCACAAAACTCACTATGCAATGAATGAACGTGAGAGTTTAAAAGAATAATTAAGCATGTAGAAGTAGCAACTAGTAAGAAAAACTGTTTATTTATGTCCTATGTGAGTTATAAAAATAAGCGATGGTCATAAATAAATTCAATCCGAAAAAAAGTGTAAGCCAATAATGCATTCGACCAACAGCCTAGGCTGTTGGTCAAATAATAAAATGCGTACCAAACGATCGAGTCTATTTAACATTCAAAAATTCTCTATGAAGCAATAAATTTGCCAAATTTTTTACTGAAATTCTTGCTCTTCTGGCCCGAGCTATTGCACCAGCAATGGAATATATTCTTTCCATCCCAGCAGAGCTTGCAGGGAAGGCCAAGTGTTTTTTTGCAAGTTTAGCTAATATCGGAAAACGCCATTCGTTGTCCCTCCAATAATTAAGTGGATTTTGTGATGCTGGCGAATTAGATTCGTGAAGATAGATTTGGAGTTCGCTAATCTCAACTGGGGTTGATGCAGGAACCTCTCGTAAAACATCAAATAGTGACGTTTTGTCCTTGTCGCGTGAAGAAGACACTGCATCATCTACGTTGGAGTTGGTCGTCTGGTCTCCCGATTTTTCAGGGCCATCCTTTTTAACAGCATTAGTATAATTAATCTCTTCAACCTCAAAAAACAGGCTAATGACGTCCGTAGCAGTTTGTAACGATGGAACCTTCAATTGAGGGGTACCATTGTCGCCATCCGCCCCCGAGTTTGTCGACACTGTTAATATATTGTTATATAAATATTTAAATACTTATCAGCACAAATAATAACAACGACCTAGGTCATTGTTATAAAGGATTGCAATTTACTAACGTTTAAAGACGTTGAGCTTGATTCGAGGATCCAGAATAGAGGCAACAAGAACCTCGGATTTTTGAATGATTGGATTCATTCGATTTTGTAGCTGCTCAATCAATTGAATTTGCAAGGCTTTAAAATAAGTGACGGAAAGGTTTTGTAGTCCTGTAAAAATCACAATTAAAATAAATAATTAGTAGTGCATAATGTAAAATTTTGTAAAAATATTACTTCGATAGGCTTGCGTGGTAACAAGAACTACCAAATTCGCAGTTACTGAGCTCGAGTGCATTTCATCTGTAGCGTCTCCCATCGGTCTAAGTATAGTATACAACTCCTCAGCTTTCTTCAGATCTTCCATTGTGGGAGCCAATGGTGGAACCTTCTTCTTGTTTACAGTTGTGATTTTGGAAGGTCGAAATTCTACCGTGGCACGGTCAAGCACATTTCGTATTGCTTTGAAGAACTTATCCTTAAATAAATTAATAAGATTCTATGTACCCGCGGTTAGAAGTTGAGGAACGACGACCTAGGGCGTCGTTCATCCCGAAATATATCCGCAAAAACACTAATATTTATGTATGCATTTTTGTCCGTACCTGCTTGAAACGTTGAACCATATCCAAAGTCGCATTCCATCTCGTCTTGGCTGGAAATACAACATCAAGTTTAGTTTCAGTCCTCAGGTCATCGCTCCATCTTGTTGAGTTTTTGAAGAAAACCATCACACTTTTAATGTATGAAATGAAAGTTTTTGAATTCTCGTCGGTTTTTAAAGCACTGATGACGCCAAGCTGTAATGTATGGGCAATGCACCCCATATGATCCACAAACTCGGGTTTTGCTGGTTCCCCGAAGTCCTCGTCTGAGTTTAACAGCGAAATATCTTCGTCATCAACATCTTCATCATCCCCTATCTCTTCGTCGTCACTATCGTCTGTGGTGACTTCAAGGTCCTCTTCCTGCTGTTCAGAAACTTGTTCGTCAAGTTCATCTTCATCATACTCGTCCGTCATTTCGAAACATTTAATCATGTTTGATGCGTTATCAGTTACCACATATCCCCCCTACTCAAACAGATGTATTGAAATTAAACGGTTGAATTAGTGATGAATTGTTTCAACAACTTTCAACAAAAATTAAACAACAACCTAGGTTGTTGTTCACAATAATGACTCACCCATGCATTAGGAACTTTCAGCGACCTTAGACATTCCATAAATTCTTCTCGAATATATTCGGCCGTATGACGTTCTTTCAAAATTCGGAAGCCAATCAAACAACTTTTGTATTCCCAGTTGGCATTGATATAGTGAGCACAAATGCCCAAAACTCCTTCTCTTCGACGAGTTGACCATATATCCAGTGAAAAGTGACATGATCGTGGTTCAACTTTGGAGAGATTAGACTTAATAGCTGGAGATACCCTCAAAGAAATTATGTTTTGAAGTCGTTTTACGTATCCTTGCCTTGATTTAATACTTATCTTCGGATCCAGATTTTTAACGCATTTCTTAAATCCAATGCCATTTACAAAGTTCAGTGGTAATATGTCAAGTGACATCATGGTCAGCACGTTGTCATCAAACTCTTTCTGTTTTGGATGATCATTGGCGTAAGGCTCCTTCGAAGATACAAATTCTTGGAGAGACTGTTGAGTTTCCTTTTGTTTTTTGTGCACTGTTTCGTCGATGACCAAACCATGTTTTCGCTTGTAATATAATAAAGATTGTGATTATCAGCGTCGTTTTATACAATTATAATAGTACCCAATAACCCAATAACAACCTAGGTTGTTATTGGGTTTTCAGCTCTACATAGTAATTTCGCACATGCCAAGATTTCATGTTTAAATTTATAATTTTATTTTACCTTTAGATGCTTTCCCAAATTTGCGTAGGAGTTTAGCTGAAGATTCAACACTGTGCCACAAACTGTGCTTCCATCTATTAACTTAAATTCACATTGGACTTGAGTTTTTCCAATTCCTTTATTTGAGCTTGAATTTGATGTCTGAGAGTTAGCGTTGGTGTCTGACGCATCAGTATGGACAATTTCGGTCCTGTCTTCTTCGATGTTATCCTCTAAATTTAATAGTGTATGTGGAAGTAGCTTGAAGTATTTTCCAAACTTGCTTTTATTCAAAGGATCCGACGACGACGGGATTAGGCGACTTCGACTGCCTGCCTTAGTCATAAGTACTTCGAACGCTGATGTCGAACTCGCCGAAGAACTCCGTAGTTTTTGGTTATCCTTACTACTGATGTCTCTGTTATCCTCCATTTCTAACAGTGGTTTGTTAACTAATCTATCTTTAACTCAGTCTAACTGACAGGAGGATGGACTCGGATGGAGGGTAGAATGTAGAAATGAAATCAGTCGAAGGAGAGCAGACACTTCAACATTTGTCTCCAGCGCAATACTTAATTAAAATTGGGTGATGTGAGAATATTGGAGCAAGAGGGGGAATAAACTTGAAACAACAACCTAGGTTGTTGTTTTTGCATAAATTGCCTTGCTGTGCAGCTGAGCTGAAGTAACTCACACCAACTCATCATTTCAACAACAATTTTACCAATTATCTTATCCCCGCTGCAAACATCGCCAACCCAGGTTTGTCACAACAGAGACATACGATTACCAATTTTTCCAGTTACCTCCCAGGTAAAATTTTCCATCAACCATTCACTTTATTTATATTGTTCTGGTTTACTTGAACTAAACTACTTATTATTTTAATTCCAATATGTAACTAAAGTCGACTTTATTTTTCAGCCCATCAACTAAAAAGTTACAAATGGATTTCTCTGATTTCTACGATAATGCATTTGACGAAGACTGCCCCTTCCTACATAATATACGAAGGAACTTTATTTTACTAATGAAGGATGAATCCAACGTAAATCCACAAGAATACATTGCAGTATTGCACAGATTCAGGAGATTTGTAACGATGCTTATCGGATCTCGTACAGATTTACCAACAATCATTAAAGAAAACTATGTTATCGCATTGCATGAAGTAGTAATGTTCCTGCAAAGATTATCAACTAAATTCGAAAACTACAAATCTGCAGGGAACGAGGAATAAATTTACAGATTATAAACTTCAACGATTAACTACCTAGGTAGTTAATCGTTTCTCCCTGGTGTATTGCATGCATCCCACGATTTCTACGAACACATAATTACTTTGTTATCTTGTGAATGTAGAGTATTACTTACTAAATTTATTTATTTATCCAATCAATAAACATCTTTAACTTGTACGTAGTACTTAGTAGTGTAGTTCAATGAATTGACTAAGTGAATCAACTTGTATTTTATTTATATTATTAACAATATTAACAAGTCAATTGAGAATCCAATAAGAATTTGACAACAGTAATAAAATACGGAAAATTCCGCAATTGTACCAGGAGATATATATGTAGAGATGTAATGCGTAAAACTTGTACAAGTTATACAAATAATATATATTAAGATTCTTTCAATTCAACTGACCCGCAAGCGTAGCCGAGCCACGAGCCACGAGCCGAGCCACGAGCCGAGCCACGAGCCGAGCCACGAGCCGAGCCACGAGCCGAGCCACGAGCCACGAGCCGAGCCACGAGCCACGAGCCGAGCCACGAGCCACGAGCCGAGCCACGAGCCACGAGCCGAGCCACGAGCCGATTCAACATTCTCAAAAGTATCGCGAGCCGATCCACGAGCCGATCCAACATTCTCAAAACTATCGCGAGCCGATCCACGAGCCGATCCAACATTCTCAAAACTATCGCGAGCCGATCCACGAGCCGATCCAACATTCTCAAAACTATCGCGAGCCGATCCACGAGCCGATCCAACATTCTCAAAACTATCGCGAGCCGATCCACGAGCCGATCCAACATTCTCAAAACTATCACGAGCCGAGCCACGAGCCGATCCAAGGGCTGAATCGGCTCGGCTCGGCTCGATTTTTGCGATCCATTTTGGATCGCGATCCACAAAGTTACAAGTGTGGTGCTAACCAGGATTTTGGGAAACTGGGCGAGGCAAAAGTATCATTGATTCGTAGGACTGGTCCTGGCATCATTTTTTGGGCTTTTGCGATTTTTTATTAGGGAATAAATGTTTGTGCATGGCCCTGGTGGACATTTGCACTTTGAATCTATTGTAATTCAAGCTGAGGGAACTAATTGGACACTTCCATCTGATATAAATTGTACGACTCGGTACATATGTAACTACGTTAAATTTTTATATACGTTGAGATATTTTGCTTTTTGAAAATATAAATTGGATAAACTTCCGTATCAGAGGAAGGCGAGGGAACGACTAAGCTGGCGATGATGATACGGAGCAAAAATATCATCCGTGTATTCCGCTGCACAAGTTCCCTATGAAAACCCAATGGTAATATGAGACTACTTATCTCCAACGGGATTTGAGATCTGTAACCCAGAAATCTCTCGGAGATTATATTAGCCGATTTTACAGTCAGGTGTTTTGACAATATTAGTGCCGTTTAAATGGTATTATTCCAAAGTTTTTTATTCCAGTGAATTTTGTTCATATTATTGTCGATTTATGTACTGTCTTAAATATTTAGTTAAATCCAATTGTGCCCTGAGAATTAATTGGAATTTTATACTCTATCTTCCCATTCTAAAAATTTCCCACAGCGTTTACAGCCTGCCCAGCTAAATCCCAGAATTTCTACAGACTTCGTTCTTCCTGGGACCTGACATACTACCCTGTCTTTTAACCCCTCTCACACCAAAAGTTTAAAGTTATAGCAGCATTTTTTTCTCGTAAAACAATTCTAATTTTGTAAACTGTTTTTTAGTACTTACCCGCACCTGATCCTGTGTGGGATTATAGAGATACAGCGATCCTACGTTATCATTATGGAAAATCCAGCTGGAAAATAATCTTCTCACCGTCCGCTGCCCTCACATTTTCAAATAGGTTTCAAGTATTTTGGTCTATTGTCCTCGTCCGATGAAAGTATAGCGAAATACTGCTTTGTAACGTGAAGTATGTAAGCATGCGGTACAAATTCATAAATCATGTATAATAACTAATTTACTTGCATATTTTCAAATAGGGTTCAATATTGAGAATATAAAAAATAAATATGTTTATATTTATAAGGGTAAGTACTTGAAGAACATAAAAAGGCTATTAAAATTTCTTGGTTTTGAAAAAACCATAAGTCAACTAATTTTTACATTTATTAAATTATTGTAAAGCGGTTTATGAAATCGATGACTACTTTCAGTCACTTAGTGAATTAGTTAATTCTTAGCCCTACCCAACGCTTATGTATCCGTGATGTATGTCTGTTTGTCTCTCTGTTTATCCGACTTGCGATAACTCTCGTATAACTTATCTGATCGACTTGAAATTTTTATCACATTCAATTCTACACATTTTTTGCCTACTTTGCGAATATTTTTTTTTATTTGAAATTTTTGAAAGTTTTAAAATTAGCAAATTTTTTGAAATTAACGAAATTTGGAAATTAAACAAAATTAGGAAATTTTTGACAATTTGCAAAATCTGCCGAAATCTTATGAAAATTACTAAAATTTGCAACAATGTTTCATAAACAGAAAATGTTGTCTCAGATTTTGATAAAGACAGAAGAAACTTTTTCATTCCTTATTCACACATTACCTCACAATACATTCATACATACATAATATGTACATACAAAGGCATGTGGTATGCAATGGTACATATGTGGTATTTCAGGGATAAATATATTTAACAAAGTATCCTCCCCAGTAAATAATATTATAGAAGGCACACGTAATTAACATCTATACATACATATATACAACAACAATAAATTAAATTATTTCGATATTTTCACTCTAAATAAAATCAAGTAAAATTTACACCGATCCGAGTAAAAAAGGGAGCGACACAACGGTTGGAGTAAAATTCACTCAACTTAGAAAATCTGCCCAAGGTTGAGTGAAGTTTCTGCAAATTTGGGTGAATTTTACTCCAACTGTTGTGTGATCCTCTTTTTTACTCAACTTTATTTAGCGTGTTCCATTTTATTTTATTCTAACTCGCGTACCGTGTTTTCTCATTAATTAGCAAAAGTCCTTCTTAAATTAATATGAACACTACATGTTAGCACATGCATGTCACCATTGAACCTAATTGTCTAACGGTATCGTACTTTTGCTCTCATCTCTGACGCATATCTCAACACCGTCGTGCGTTACATGTGTGTGTATGTACTTATGTATTTACTTTTTTGCATGGTTTCCCTCTCTGCAAAATCCCAACAGGATCATGGTGGACATGGGGTTTTTTGTCAAATTGATAAATTAACTACTTTCCACTTCATACAAAGGCTTTCTATTATTGTTGACATCTTCACATGATAATGTCGTATTTTCTATAGAAAATAATACAATGTGCCAAAATATTTATGAATACAGTGGAACACATAATGGTGTAGGAATGGGGAGGAATCTGTGTCACTTTTCATTTCACACAATTTATTCACTATCCATCCACTCATCGGAAGAAAACGCCTAAAATAATCCATCTTGTTTAAAAGATCTTGTTTTCGTGGTGCTGTGAAGGTTATTTGTGTAGAAATCCAGTTTATTAAACATCGACACAAATGTGTGATCTGTTTGATAATATTAACGAATAATTTACCAACAATACGCAACATACAAGTAATACCGGAACAGGTATGGATTGTAAGATTGTATTAAATAGTTTTGAAAAACCAGAAGCTGCCCAACCGTGGGGACATGTCCTCGATTAATTTTAAATTCTACTATCCCTAAAATCGTGTAAACACCTCCGTGTCATATTTATCTTGCCATGTTATTGTCTCCAAAATGTCCCCAGAGTTAATTTCGCAGCGCATGGATTGGTTTGCAAATATCATGAACTTTCTGGGCATGACATATGTACCTATTTAATTTTGACAGATTTTGGTAACATTTATTTACAAAATTAGTTTTCACTTGGTGGACGTGGACGGAAGCATGGATTCGTCCGTGCAACATCTCATTTCCGGATTATACCTCGACATGAAAACATGGCGTGGGGGCAACGCCACAGAACTATATCCGCCCTGGATGAATCCCCACGTGGTATCCAGAGGTCAACAATTTGCTTTGGAACATGTGACAGGAGTTGTTTTATCGGCATTTTACGGATTAACTATGCTCTTCGCATTTCCCCAGATAAGCGATATTCTCATCTTTACAGGTAAATGAAATACTAATTACTAAGGATTTCACAATAAATAAATTGTAATTTAAAGTTAGAACAAAAT